AAAACTGAACTGAATTCTATTCTGTCCTCCGACATATATATATATATATCACGAGACAAGGAAAAATCCCAGACACAATAGAAGAAAAGAGATGACGCAATCATAGAAAAAATGAAATGACGCGACTAAAGGCCATCAAGGTCTCATGATGATCAATATCCAATACATAATCAACAGGAACGAAAGAGAAGATATGTATCTAAACATATCAATACATCTTCAGCAGAAAGGAAAGAAAAGATACATGTATGTATGCGTACGTACATATATGACAGAACAGAAAAGACATCCACTTGTATACACTGTATACAAGTTAGTGTCATAAAATAACAACTGATGACGCTAACAGAATGAAGATGAAGTCGAATTAGCTCATCTTTATTTCTTACCGAAAGCACATAAACCTAAAACACCATCACGACCAATAATGGCAGGTCTAAAGTCTCCAACGATAGCCATATCTCGATGGTTCAATGGACATTTAAGACCACTTTTTGATCGTTTAGCATGTAAGACAACCATCTCAAACGGTACTCAACTAATAAAACAAGTTGAGAGATGGTCAGTTTTCCATCTTACACCAACTACATCATTCATAACAATGGATGTTACTGATCTATATACAATGATCCCTCAAGAAGGAGGAGTAACAGCCATCAAGAAATTGATAGAAGCATCCAGTTTAAAGCAAATTGATGGTATTAAAAAAGAGATCATATTAGCTCTTACCAGATTTGTAATAACCAATAATTATTTCTATCTAGATGGTTCATATTATAGACAAACACGAGGAGGTGCAATGGGTTCCCCACTCACACTCACAATAGCAAATGCATACATGTACTTTGTAGAACGTCCAACATCGAAATGGGCTCAAAGAACAGATGCATTATATTATAGATATATAGATGATCTCTTTATTATGTCGAATGTACATGCAGATACATTAAAAGGTCTTGTAAGATTCTGGAATCGACTTGATTCTAATATCAAATTTTCAGAATCGATAGGACATACTGCAGAGTACCTTGATATTAGATTAGAGAATAGAGGAGGCAAATTAATATCTGAAGTGTTTCATAAACCTTCACACGAACCATATTCTCTCCCTTTCACAAGTGTACATGCCCATCATATAAAAAAGAATATCCCTTATGTAGCTCTTGTTCGAGCAATCAGATATTCTTCGAGTTATAGCGCATTTAAGCGTGAAGAAGCTCATATTTGCATGTCACTATTACTAAACAAGTACCCCCTAAATTTTATTCTGAAACAATTTGAAAGAGTTTTACAAACATTTCAATGTGCGGGACCAACTCGGAAGAATTATTATAATATAAGAAGAATCTTTCTGGATACCGCAGACAATATTACAAAGAAGGCTGATATTGATTTCGAGGTCAATATCTTGTGTCATTTTTCCTATTGTAAAGGAATGGATGATTTCCCGACCCGTTTTCATAAACTTTGGAACGATTGTTTTTCCGACACAGCCATTTGTAACATGAAACCAATTGTAGGTTCTAAGAAAGTAGATAATCTTCAAGATTATCTTGTAAAAAAGAAACCTGACAAGTCGTTACTAAAGATCAAAAAAACTCAACAACCAACCACCAACGAACAAGCAAACGGGAATGGCACAACAAGACCAACCAATCATACGACGATGAACTTATCTTCTTGTGGCTTTACTCAAGAGTAGTGGCTCTTTCAGCCCTCTGCTTCTTTTTCGTTGTTCGTTGTTTGTATTTTCATAAGGGCCCTTTTTGGCCTGATGAAAAATTTGTATATTTGTGCGTGTGGAAGTTTTGTGTGTAGACGTTCTGATGAAGTCAAGTGGTAACTTGACAGAAACTAGTCGATAAAAACTCTGGAAAAACAAAACTTCGATTTTTATTATTTGTTACCATCTATCTTGCGAGTGTAGTGATCGGTTATATTTTATACAGAATAATCAACTACTCTTATTTTTCGATTAAGTCTTTTTCACATTAGATGTTGTAGGCTTGATTCCTTAGGGGGTAATCCTGAAGCCTAAATAATCTAGCTCTTTCTTTGCCACGGAGCATTTTTCAACGTTCAATTTGATGTTGGCTTTATTCAATGCACCAAGAACCAAATCAATGTGTTGTACATGATGTTCAAATGTTGTCGAATACACAATAATGTCATCCAAATACACTAATGCGATATCCCATCGGAGAGAACCCAGAACATTGCTGATCAGTCGCTGAAAGGTAGCCGGGGCATTGGACAAACCGAACGGGAAAACGTTGAACTCGAATAAACCATCGGTTGTGACGAAGGCTGTCTTTTGTTTACCGACCTCCGAAACCGTTACTTGCCAATACCCCGCTTTGAAATCTAGGGTGCTGAAAAATTGTGCACCTGCCATACGATCTATAATATCGTCTATACATGACAGCGGATAGACATCTCTCTCCGTGATTGCGTTTAGCTTCCTGTAATCTACACAAAATCTTGGTTTTCTGTCTTTTTTCTTTACGATGACGACTGGTGATGACCAAGGGCTCGAGCTAGGTCGAATGATACGATTATTGAGCATCTCCTGAACCTGAGAAGATTCGATTTCACGTTCTTTCGGCGCTTTTCGGTACGCGCGGCATTGAATTGGATGATTATGAGGCGGCACCGGGATGCTATGTTGGATTCCAACATTCACAATCGTTGGTTTGGAGATATCGAAAACATTGCCATGTGCGAGGAGGACTGGTTTGAGTCGACGTTGTTGAGGAGAAGATAGATGAGAAATTAATTTTTCAACTGATGCGGTGATCGATGAGAAATGTGAAGAAAACGTTGGCAATGGAGGCAGTTGTTGGGTAGATGATGTAGGAGGCGAATGACTTGAAATGACAGCAGAGCAGGTCTGTTCGACATGATTTTGAATGACACCTAATTTTATGCCAGCTTGAATTTTCTTCGGGGTGTTGGTGGTATTGCAAATTGAAATCGTTGTTTTACCGTTTTGGATTTTCAGTAGGGAATATGGAACTAAGATGTTGTGTTTTGATTTGAGTTTCGATGAGAGTGTAAAGACTGCTGATGACATATTAAGCATTGGATTGTTGGATGTTGTTGTTGCTTGTACAAACTTGGAGGACATATGAGGGATAATAATTGGACTGATTGTCGATATCTGGAATGTTCGTGAACGTGGTTGTTGTTCAAATGAAAGTTTCGTGTTTTGAGAATTTTTCCAAATTGTGATGGTTTTCTGATGATAGCTAATATCAGCTTTCCAGAATTCCAACCAATCACTACCCAATAATAAATCTACTACTTAATCTTCAATTATAAATGCTTTAACTGTTGTGGTAATATCGTTGATTTTGATCTGAAGCAGCACCATTCCGATTAATATTCAATTTTCCACTGTTTGCTGTGTGGACTGTTGTTCTTGCTGTGCGAATATTATCATGTTTAATTTCAGCCAAAAATGTTGGGTTAACAGCCGAAATAGTTGAACCGGTGTCGACCATCGCTCTTGTTAATGTTCCATTCACTGGAACGTTGATGAGTATTTGTTTTGATGGTTGACGGTGACTGGTAGTGGCGCTACCATTATGCGACACCACTAGACTTTTGGGTAGTAATTGCGACGGCCAGATCGACATTCACGAGCAAAATGATCAATGTTATCACATGAATAACATCTAATTGCTGATGAATAATAATCAGGATATGACTGCTGAGGTAAGGGACTAAACCACTGTGTTGAAGTTTGGTTTCTTGAAGATCTCTCGTGTTGTTGTTGATGATATGGACCACGATCATACCCACTGAAGCCTTGATGATCCGGTAGTTGTTGACCATATTGTGTAGAATATTGTTGATGAGTATGTGGGTGTTGGGGTCTATACTGGAATGCTGGTTGTATAGCAGCCACCTCATCAGACATATCTTCTGTTGCTGGTCGTGTTGTATTTGGTGGTATTGATGCTTCAATCATCGCTGCTGCTGCTTCCAATCTTTTTGCTTGTTCGAGAAGTTCAAGACAGGTTTGAGGATCAAATGGGATTGTCATCTGAGCTAGTGATGGTTTTAAACCACGCTGAAGATGCAGCAATTGTTGTTTTTCACTCATTTCGTGGTCGAGTTTGGCACACAAAGCCAACACATCCAAATAATAACTTTGGACGGATTTATTCAGTCTTTGGCGCCGATTTTGTAACTTTATAGATATATTTAATTGTTGTGTTGTTGATGTAAATGTTTTTATCAATTCATTCCTGAATATTGACCAACTGCCATTGGTTGTCCGTTTCGCTTGTTTGTACCACTTAGTAGCATCACCACTTCAACATTGTACAGCGATTGGAGTTCTTGCGTCATCTTTAATATTTGCAATAGCAAGGATTGCTTCCATTTCATCGAGCCAGTCGGATGGATCTTGATCATCTGCCCCAGTGAAAGGTTTGGCGCCTTGGACGCTTTTTGATAGTAATAAATTATGAAAACTTAAAGCCATTTGTTTCCGTTCGTCTCGTTCACGTTTCTTTTCTTCTGGTTGTTGGTCGTGTAGGTCAATGAGTGGTTGCTGTTCCGTCGCTGTTGTTTGTCGAGTGTCCAGATTCGTAGATTGTTGCTAACACAATAGTCATAGAAAATAAGAAGTACACGTACTTGAATCCACGAGTTCAATGGGTAGAACCTCCAGTTGTTACGTAGTCGTTTCGCATGTAACTAGTGATAGTTTATTTAAAAGAAAAAAAGACTGCTTGTTGACAAAGAAAACAGATCTATTTATATGTGCAGTATTGCACAATCATCTTGGATATTGTGGTGCAATAACCATGACCATATTGCGTAATTACCTGGACCATACTGTTATGCAATTACTTGACCATGACGTTGTGCAATTACGGATAGATTTTTCAAAGAATGGAAAAGAAAATGATAGCTTCTAAATTTTCTAAATGAGATTATCTTTGCTTCCTAACATACGCCTTCACATTCTTCTAATGATAATTGAATGTTTAAATTATTTAAAATCATAGGATTCAATGAAAAATCCATTAAAGATTTTCATCCATTATGATTGACAGTAAAAGTTTATTCTTCTTCATCCAAAAACTGTGTATGAATTTTTCGTGTCTTGAGTGGAAAAGTTCAATGGAAAAATTGAATGAAAAATGAACGGATACCATTACGCTACGTCTATATATAGTTTTCTGTTGACCTTTGACCCTAACGGTTTTCTGTCTAGACGTCTGGTGACCCTTGACCCCTGGTATTTGATAGGTGATTGTTGACCTTTAACCTTTGACCCGGTAACAGACGGACAGACACTCAACATTATAATATAGATTCAAGTTTTTCTTTGAGATGTTTGATTTCAGATGAATAAACACGTTCACCTAATTCATTATTTAAATGTTCTAATAAATTTCCAAATTTAGTTATCACATTTGTTTTCTTTGGATTTGAATTAGTTTGTGAAAAATCCTAAATGAAGATATTTATTAAAATAAATAATTGAAGAATGAATAATTACCGTTAGAGAAGGATTTTGACAATTAGTATCTTGATGATAAGCAAAGAACATTCGTTCAATATATTTTGAACATCGAGAACATTGTTCAGTTTTACTTGCACACATCCATAAATGTTCTCGCATTGCATTTTCTGTTGATATATCTTCATGACAAAATGGATATTGATGATTATCACTCATCCGATAATATACAAATCTACAAAACTTTTCTTTTTAACAATTCGTAATTAATCTAGATGTAATATGTATTCATTTCATATTCTTGTTGACTTATCTCGACACAAATTAAAATATTTATTCGCTTTCGTTTATTCGATTCTGACAGATGTCACTCATTCACATTTAGCAAAACATTTTTTTTCGATGAATATATTATTTGATGAAATCATTGACTAACAAAATACTATCGTTCGAAAATGCAAGTTAATTAGAGTTGATTAGCTTGACGTTTCATAATAAAATCATGATCTTTCCGTTCTCCAACTGAAAATTCAGCTTCACCAATTTTAATAAAACCATAATGTGTATAAAATCGTTGTGCTTTGATGTTTCCTGACCATACATTGAGCCATATAGGTCTGTGTGGATAATGTTCTTCTAACCAAGGTAAAATGATATTCATTAATTCTCTCCCAAATCCATGAGATTGATAATCACGTCGAACAAAGAAACAATTAACTGCTCCATCTACATTTGAACAAAGATCATCATGAGGAATATCCTTTTGATCAGCAGGACCGGCAACAGCATAAGCGATAAGTTCACCATTAGTATTATCTTCTATCACCCATACAGCTCGACTTTGATCAAGGATTTGTTGAGAAAACCATTCTGGACTAGCAGATGAACGAGAATAAGAATTGAGATCTTTTTCCGGATAATTTATACCGAAATGTTCCACAAATGTTTCATGATATGTTTGTTCACAAAGTTTTGATAATGAGTCAACATCATTCATATCAGCACGACGAAGAACAAATTTATTTTCCATTTAATAAATTCAATTCGAAAGAATACAAATGTTTATTGCACTTTTTTTTTCTTCTTCTTGATCTTTTCGTGACAAGTGAGTCTTATCTTTTCGATGAAGACACATGGTAACAATCTAATCAAACAAACAAATCTTTTTTTCTCGCCGTTAAATATAAAAAAACTCTTCCAGCAAATTCTGTGTCACTTTTCGAGATTATTTATCATATTTTATTATGTGCTACATGTAGATATAAAGTGAAATGAAAGGGTGTGGGTGTGGGTGTGGGTGTGGGTGTGGGTGGGTGTGGATGGATTAAGAACACATTTACACCCACACCCTATACACCCACATCCCACACTCACACCCACACCCACGCCCACACCCACATCCCACACCTACACCCACACCCCACACCCCACACCCACACACCCACACCCACACCCACACCCACATCCACTTCCCACACCCACACCTACACCCACCTACACCCACCCACACCCACTTACACCCACCCACACCCACACCCACTCACACCCACTCCCACACCCACATGAATAGAAAACATTTCACATCATTTCAATGAAGTCTACTGTCCACTATCTTCTGCTCTGAATAAGTGAAATACTAATGACTGAATTAAGACCTTTTTAGCGTAGATAAGCTAGAAATAGAAAAAAATTCAAATTTGGATCACCTAATTTCTAGAGTGTGCCAAATATTCTTTAAATCTTAAGAACACTAATGAACTTCCTAAAACTGAATTTGATTTGCAAGAAACTAGTTATACATCGTAAATCTTACTCGCAGAATACTTAGGGCAATCCAAAAGTAATGTCGTCAGGGTCTTATTACCTTATTATAAGGGAAAAAAATTTTCTCTTTTTTATAAATAGATAGAGCGTCTTTCACTCTATCTTTCTATGCTATTTGATCGCCCTTCACTCCATATTGAAATAAGAAAATCTTGATAAGAACAGTTTTTGTTGGAAGCTAGCTGGCGGTATTACTTAGGGTATACCAAAAGTTCTGATCACAGTTTTTAAAATTTAATAAAGCAATAAATATTGAATATTTTACTAAGGCAATATATAGTATAACGTCTCGTCTTTAATAATATATAGAGCAATTCTCTCTTAGACTTAGTTCTAACATCCTTTCAGACTAAATCTATAGTATTTATAGCCAAGAAAAGATCATGCCAACATAAAACCACAATACAGAAACGAAGAGACATTCGTTATTTTATTTTATTAAATGCTCAAAATAATCACCATTCTTTTCGATACAAAGTTTCATTCTTTCTAACAGTTTATCGAAAGTATTTTTAAACTCGTTTATTGGAATATTCTTCACTATGGTGGAAACCTCTTGAGCTAATGATTCTTCGTTTGTGTGATCCGTCAACTTGTTCTTGATATAATCATTTAGCCAAAAGTCACACGGTGCGAGATCTGGTGAATATGGTGGATGTGGAATGATTTCGATTCCTTCCTCCATTAAATAATCAATAACATCTGGATGAGTATGAGGAGGACCATTATCATGAAGCATTTTATATGTAGTACGTGATGACTTTTCCTTTTTTCTTATTTCATTGATAACAGGTATAAGACAATTATCAATATAGTAGTCATGATCGATTGTCTTGCCCTTATCTAGTTTGTGTATGAGAAGAGAACCAGTGGATTTGAAGAAGAAGCAAAATAGTGTTCTAGGTTCAAATCTATTCCGACGAACAATGGTTCTTGGTAGTTCATTTTCGCCAACCCAAGTAGCATTGCTTGACTTTCGACCAATCTGCCTGTGATAAATCCATGTCTCATCACCAGTAATAACATCACATAAATGCCATGTTCCATTTCTAAATTTCTCTAAATTTTGACGACAAATTCTAAGTCGTTTTTGTTTTTGTTCGTCAGTAAGTTGATGAGCAACCCGACGTGATGTAACTTTTCTCATCTTTAGACGATCATGAATAATTCGTTCTATTGTACCACGTGATAGATCAGTCTCACCCATAATATCATCATAAGTTGAGTGTGGATCATCTTCGATAACTTGTCGAACGCGTTCAACATTTTCATCTGTAAGTACCGAAATCGGACGACCAGATCGAGGATCACCAGTGACATCGTCTCTTCCTTCACGAAAACGTTTCGCCCATCTTCTGACTGTTGGATATGATGGAGCATCAGGTCCCAATGCCTCTATAAGTTCGTCAAAGATTGTTTTTGAATCTATTCCCAAAATAGCTCGAATTTTGATATAATATCGATTGAATTCATCAGTCATGTTTAATGTCTTCTTTTAAGATTGAAATCAAATTCTATTATGATTTTAAGTCGAGTACGGTACAAATGAACGAACAGCGAACGACCTCTCATTTATATATACTATCGAAATGTAATATTCTAGAACATGACGTCATAAAACATGACGAGAGAGTGACCAATAGAAAGTTCCAGAATGTACCTGACCATTGAACAAGAATTAATAATATTGGCATTGTCTGTAAAATTATAGATTTAGTCTGAAAGGATGTTAGAACTAAGTCTAAGAGAGAGTTGCTCTATATATTATTAAAGACGAGACGTTATACTATATATCGCCTTAGTAAAATATTCAATATTTATTGCTTTATTAAATTTTAAAAACTGTGATCAGAACTTTTGGTATACCCTAAGTACATTATATTATCATTCTTGTATGCTTTTTTTTCGTTCTTTTCTTATTTTTCTCTTATCACTTTTCCCTTTTTCTCGTCTTGCCATGGGATTCACCGCGTAGATATTTCAGTCTGCAAAATGAGATAATGATGAAAAATAAAAAACAAAAAGAATTCAAGTAATGTTTATTTCATCAAATGTTCAAAATAATCGCCTTCATTATCTATACACAACTGCATTCTTTGCAACCATTTATCGAAAGTCTTTTTATATTCTTCTTTGCTCAGTGAGTACATAAACTCGTTGACAGCATCACGTAATCATTCTGAATCGTTATGATCATCCAGATGTTCTTTGATTAAGTCGAATAACCAAAAGTCACATGGTGCTAGGTCTGGAGAATTAGGTGGATGTGGCATTATTCTAATTTCTTTCGATTTGAGATAATTGGTCACATCTTCATCAACATGTGGTCTTCCGTTATCGTGATGAATTATGACATCACGAGTGCCAGATGATGGTCTTTGACGGTTGATTTCGTCGACAACAGGTCGCAAGCAATTGTTGATGTAATAATGGTGATCCATTGTTTGTCCTCTTCCCATATGATGAATGAGAACAGGACCGTTTGACTTAAAAAAAATGGAAAATAATGTTTTTGGAGCAAACTTACTGCGCCGAATTACAACAGGTGGAGGATCTCCTCTTGATACCCAGGCAGCGTTTGATGACTTGCGACCAATCTGTTGGTGATAAAACCATGACTAGTCACCAGTTATTACATCACATAAACGCCATGTTCCTTTCTGGAATTTTGCTAAATTGTTCTTGCATATTCGAACTCGCTCTGATCGTTGAAAATCATTAAGAAGCTTGGGTGCATAACGAGCGGTAATTTTCCTAAGCTTTAAATGATCTGAGATGATTCGCTGGACAGTCCCATAACTTAAATCAGTTTGCTCCTGTACCTCCTCAATTGTAATGTGAGGGTCATGATCGATTAGAAGGCGAACTTGTTAAATATTTTCAGCTGTAGTTTCAATGATTGGCCTTCCAGGACTTGCTTCATCTTCAATTTCTTCTCGTCCTTCACGAAACCATTTACATCATCTTTGAACTGTTTTAAGAGAAGGAACTTGGTCACCGCAAACAGAAGATAATTCATCATGAATAATGCTTGGTGAAATGTTAAGTGCGGTACGCACTTTAATATAGAAGCGAAAGTTTTTCGTAATCATCTGAAAACAATAGACACGGTAAAAGCTCAATCCAGCTTAA